CACTGGTATATGGACAGTCGTCACTAGAAATAGCAGTCTTTACTTTAGTTAAAATGGCACTAGCTACATCTTTGTCCATTTCTTGTTTACGTGATTTATCTTGAGACAAACAGGGACACTGCACAGTAGAATCTGTTTTATTGCATTTACAAGTTTTCGCTGCATCTTGATACTTTTCACCACGGCTAATAAAAGTTCTAGTCGATGCAGGTCGTGGAAAATTAAAACGACAAACAGTATTTTTCTTTTTACAAGTCTTTGAATGTCGTTTTGAATGCTGCTGCACAGATGAGACTACTTCAGACAGTGAATCTTCTTCAGGAGGAAGTTCACATGTCACATATTTGTCAATGAATGCAGTGACCTCCTCATCTGTGTTCTTGTCTATAACCGGAGCACCAGAAACCCAAAACAGACAATGACAATGTGGAGAACCACGCTGCTGGAACTCAACACGATAATAGTAATCTACAATCTTACCGATGGGATTGGCAGGAGACATAAGAACTTCTCTTAAGAAGACGTGCCATCGAAAGTCAAACATTCGGGCAGCAGTGACAGGATTTCTACGCAGCAGTTCACATTTATCAGCCCACTCCAGCTGTTCCACTGTCTGTGTTCTGCCTTCCTGTCTCAAAATACTGTACAGGAGATTAGTCCATCTCATATCTGCTGACGAAAATGATGCAAACCAAGTAGGTTTGCCCAGCATTCTAACACATGCCAGCAGGTCGCGTTGTGCAGTCTGCCAAAATGCAGGTGTGCCCCGAATAGGTTTGAGGAAACGATACCCATCATCAAACTCCAACAGCTTATTTAAGGAATCCTGATCCTTTACCAAATTACGCAAGTCATGGGATTCACCACTTTTACCTTTACGTAGAGCTATAGAAACTTTAGACACAACCTGCTCCAGTTCAGACATGTACTGCGCAAAAAAGATATATTCTACATTATGAGCAAATCGCCCATCAGCGTGAAGAAGTCTAGTGTTAAAATAACGATTCAATGTCAAATTATATTGCCGGCTTTCGTGGTACGTTTTTGATCCTGAAGGGAATAATACAGGGAAACATTTCGCCTCATTTGTAACATCAGAAAGCAATTTCACCGGATTATTACCTTCACCAGGAGCTACATTTAACACGTTGTCAACATACTGATCTAATGCTTCTTGTCCTATATCCACTGGCATGAGACAGGTGTCCTGAAACATACAGTGTTGCTGTCGATCATGCAGCAGTTTATCTTCATCCTCTTCTATGCACGCACCCTCATCTTTATCAGCAACACTGTTCTTTTCCGATACAGAATGGTCATCCACACGAGAAAATTCATTAATCCACGCTTCATTGAACTGTACATCTTTGTAATGTAAATTATGATGTTTTAAATACTGAAGAGCTTCCTGGACATGCACTGCGTCAACATACTGATAATCATAATGGCCTTTATATGTTAATTTGCGTTTTAACTTTACAGGTAATAAAGACCCCTCCATGTTGGTGCGTGGTAACAAACTGCACGTTTCAACTATATTTGCTGGTACACAAGTTACAGGCCCATGAATTCCATTCTGACCACCTTTAGGCAGAGCCAACATTTTCATAAATGGTATATTTAAAGCTATCAAATGTTGCTCTAATGTATTTAATCGTGCCAACTGAGGTGGGATGGGATCAACAGTCAGTTTGTTGATTGAACTCTGTGGAGGTATTTGACCATTGTTAATTTTATAATGGCAAGTGTAACAGATATACAATGAATTTCTAGATGTATTGAAAAACTCACATGGTGACTTGCAGGCACTGGTGCATCTATGCATATAATCTTCACTTATACATTTATCTGCTATAAGTGACATTTCTTTGTTTTTTTTATAATAATCTTTGCGACAATTTAAGACCTGATGTTTAAATAACAATCGAGAGCATACACAACACACAAAATCAGGTCCATCTTTTACCTTCTCCAAAAATTGCTCAGTGACAAAATCAAAGTGTTGTGACTTTAATTTAATCAGCTCTCGTTTGTGCTTTATACCTTCTATTAATCGTGTTTTATGTTCATCTTTAAGATACTGCCTTCTACTCAACTCTCTTACTTTTTGTTGATGAGATAAATTATGGTGGTATTCATGAATACTCCTCCGTTTAACTCTTTCTTGATAAGATAAATTATGGTGGTATTTATTAATACTCCTCCGTTTAACTCTTTCTCGATGAGATAAATTATGGTGGTATTCATGAATACTCCTCTGTTTAAGTCTTTCTCGATGAGATAAATTATGGTGGTATTCATGAATACTCCTCCGTTTAACTCTTTCTTGATGAGATAAATTATGGTGGTACTCATGAATACTCCTCTGTTTAACTCTTTCTTGATGAGATAAATTATGGTGGTATTCATGAATACTCCTCTGTTTAACGTTTTCTCTGTAAGACAATTTATGATGATAGTTATACGAACTCATCTGTTTAACTTTCTGTTTATGTGTAGTAACAAATTTGTATTTAAATTTGCTGGAATTGATTTTTGTCAACCTGCATACAAAACTTGTCTTATATAATTTTTGGCTCAGAGTTTTAACTTTTTCATTAAATGTATTGTCATTTCTATATCGAAAGGCTTTTGTAAAAGCCTTTTTTTGTTTTTTATATTTAGACAAAACTTTATTACTGTTCATACTTTTAATGTTTGGGTCAGCATTTAACTGCTTTTTTATTGATCTTCTGCACCTGTTTACAGTGTCTGACAAAGAATCAACTTTACAAAAACCCAAACATGTTTCTTTGTCACCCTGCTTAGTGCAAATAACAGGTTTAAAAATATTAAAGCAGTTTGACAAATATAGTCCCTCAATGATGAAATTACTGGATTTAGGACTATATTTGATCCACTCAGTGCCATTATTAATAAATATGTGCACGCCTAACATATTAGCTGCAGCCCTAAATTCTACTTCTGTAGCACAGTGACCTACATACTTCATCTGTGAGTGTTCTATATATTGTGACACAGAAGCATGTTTTCCCAGGAACTGTTGACACTGTTCAGTATTTTTTAACATGTATGAAACAACAGAAAGTCGGACCTTACGATGGCCTTTCTGTGACCCACTAATTGAATGAGCTACAGCTCTGAAAAAACTATTACCATCTTCTACAATATCCTCTGTCTTACACACATTTCCCAAAGTCCCACATGGTGTAGAGTCTTGGGAAGTGTGTTTGTCATAATCTATTTTCAACATGTTACAAAGAGTTTTACAAACATCTGCAGACAGAGGAGTAAAAGTATTGGAATCATCAATGGCACTGGCATCATGTGCTTCTATAGAACAAGGTTCAGTAGCAGCTTGTCGAGTGTTATATTTTCCAGAATCATCATCTACAGTCTTGCAATACCCATAACATGTTTCCATGTTAAGCTGTTTAACACAAATGACTGTCTCATAATGGTTACCATTACAATTTTGTAAATAAACACCTTGATTAGATATGCTGCTGTTGGAGCTGTATTCAAGCCATTTATCATTACAGTAAGTGAAAATGTTAATGCCAAAATAATCAGCGGCAGCTTGAATTTCTACCTCAGTTGCCCAGTTTCCTACATATTGCATCCTAGATGAGTTAAGATAGTGTGGAACCGAGGAATACTCACTTCTTAAAATACTTTGATATGTTTGAGGATTCCTTTTTAACTGGTTTACCACAGCGAGCCGAATTTTTCTATGATGTTTCTGGGTGCCAGTAACAGCTCGACTTACTGCCCTGAAAAAACAGTTTCCGTCACCCACTATTTCCTCATTCACACAAGGTACACCCAACTCACCAACACCATAACAAGCATAATCACACTTTTCATACTCCACATTCAACCGTTTACACAGAACCTCTGACACATCACTAGAGATGGGATCAAAATGCAAAACCTTTGTCGTAACATCACTAACAAAAACAGAGTCCATATCCTTAACATCATCAATCTTCGTCCTTTTGCATGCTGTGGATGTGGATGACCTTTTGCGCTTCTCCCCTTTGGCCTTCGTGGGAACTGCGCTTGTTTGTTCAGATACATTTGTAAATGTGTCCATCTGAACAATATCCACTCCAGTGATCTCAAATGACTTCTGAGATCCCACTAGTTTACTAGCAAACCTCTGAAAATGTTGAAAAACATTATCAAGGTTTGCAAAGTACACAACTACACTCTGTCCTGTCGGGTCTACCATGCCGTCTGCAGAGCGTGCATGGGAATCTACTACAGCATAACGTCCATTATCACAAATGATAGCGCAAGTATTGCCACTTAATGTCATAATGCAAGTTTCATGCTGTGTGCACATCTTCTGCAATCCATCCAGGAGAGGAGTGTACACACCAGCATCTATTAACTCGCCTTCAACTACATCTACATCTCCTGAAACAAAATCCCCGTAAACAAGCTTAAAACGCTGTTCTTCTATGTCAATTTCCTTTGGCAAGTCTGGAACAGAGAGAAACTCATGTCCACCTCTAATCTTTTTGTTGTCGCGCAAATCTGTGTACAGCTCATCTCCTAACTCAACAACGTTATCCAACACGGCAAAGTCCCAAGAAAAAACACTCTTCTGTTTGTGCTTTGTTAAAGCAACAACAGTAATAGCTGCACACTGAACTCCCCCATATTTAAAACGCCTATCGCCCTGGTGAAATGATCCTAGGATAGAGTCTAAAACTTTATCATCCTTGTGTGAGCTTGTATCATCTTCATCAAAATTATTTACAACAGAACTGCTTGAAGGTTCCTGAACAGTTGTCTCTGGAACTAGAGACGATAGCAAAATCTGTGAACGCATGCAAGAAGGGGTGTTAGTGGACTGACCTCTGGGTGATGCATGCACGTGATGGCAATCACCCTTCTGGCCAGAAGGAGGCATCACAGCATGAGCAGCACCAGACCCAGAGACAGACCCAGGACAACCAGATGCCTCCTGATGGTGGGGTAAAGGCAGCTGGTCACAGTCCAACACCTATATAAAAGAAATTAAAGGGCAATACATCCTAAACACCATCAAGATTTGTTTAGTTTTTATGTTTGAAACACACACTTCTTACCTCCTTCCTAAAATGAACAGACTCCACGTCTGCAAGAGGATTTATGCAAGGTGGGAATGCAACCTATAATTCAAGAACAACAACAGTTAACAAAAATAACACCACAATGTATTTGTATGCCAGATAATTTAATGAATCAACCTCCTGCTGGACACGCCTAGCTGCTTTCTTAAAATGTCGCACAGACGTAGTCTACAAACAGAAAATAACACGGTTAAGTACAATACTTTCAAATATACCATACAGACAGCCCATATTACAAACATCAGGAAGTACATTACACTTCACATTAGAAGATAATAATAAACATTTTCTTTGAAGTGAAAATATATATCTCTCATATAAGCTCTTTCATATATTATTATAAGCTCTTTTATATGATTAAATATGTATCTCTCACTTTTGCCCCTTATATATTATCATAAATACATTATTATATGCCTTTTCATGGAATCTTGTTATAATATCAAAGACCTCTCTGTGCCTTTTCTGCTCAAGCTGAACAGCTGCATAAGGGAGTGAAAGTGTTCCTTCCTTCAGTTCCTCAATACAAGAACAACTGTCTTTGTTAGCAAAGGATGTTGCAGGATGTGTCCTGATCATCTCAAGGTTGCATGTCCTTGGGATGAATTGGTCTTTCATTAACAAGGCTATTAGCTGACGTGCGTCTGCAGGTGCAGATGGCAGAATTACGTGTGTGTATGGCAAACTACGTATGTAACATTCCTGTAATCTTCAATAAAAATCAGCCGTTTTCAGCAGAACGGCGAGAGTCTGTCCGAAGCATCTGGCAAGAGCAGGTCGCGGGACTTGCTGCAGAGACTCTCCCCCTCATGAGCGGCGAAACAGTGAATGGACTTCTGATCATTTGTCTCCTCGTTCTGACAACTTTAAAGGTGTTTAACTCCATCTACTCCGTACCCGTGCTTGGTCTAACGGAAGAGAGACCAACAAATTTGGCGTCACGAACAGGATTTTTTCTTTTTGAAGAAAAAGGAGTTTTTGGAGGATGATTCGACCTACTGACCCAGCGAACGATCTTGGCACAGAACACCGCGGTGGAAAACAAGGTGAGCAGAGCCTATTATCTAAAATCTGCTCATTGGATTTATCCAAAGCCTTTGTGTCCAGAATCATAGTAGCTGTGGTCCTAAAATAATAGTTGGAGAAGAAAGTGGAGACAAGTGCAGAAAGAATAAGAGATTTTTTTGTAATGGTTTAATGGTGAAATGAAATGAGGATTTTCTAATGATTTAATGAGTAAATGAGAAAAGGAAATAGTACAGAAATAGGGGTTGGAGGCCCAGAGCATTAATAAGCTCTAAATTCCATTTAAAGAAGGGTTGGAGGCCCAGGACAAGGTCCTAAATTCCATTTCCAGGTCGTGGCTGACCACACTATTTGCTGACGAGTGAATAGAATATATAACGAGGTTATATAATGCTTGGTTGGAGTCCATAGGTGTGGGAAGCCTAAAATTCTACAGGTCAAGGACCTGGTTCGGGTTAAGGCCCTGGGAGGCTAAAGAGAGCTCCCTAAATTTTAAAGGCACAGGTCGAGGACCTGGTTTGGGTTAAGGCCCTGGGAGGCTAAAGAGAGCTCCCTAAATTCGAAAGGTCAAGGACCTTTGCATGAGATGAGAAAAATGTTCTAAGGTAACTGTTTTTGCATAAAATAAGTAATGTTTAAAATATGACAAGCAGCCCAGTTGAAGCCACGAGAAATGAGGTTTTATTGAGAAAGTCAGCAGAAAAGGCGATGAAGGAAAAGGGGTAGATGTTAACAGTAGAGGTAACTGGAGCAAGATTTGGGAAGTGAAGGCTGCAGAATCAAGAGGAAAAAGGCACAGCTGTAGACAAGCTTCACTGTGTGTGTAAGCTGAGTTCAGCCTGTGTGTGTGAGGCGCAGCAAGAGGCTGCTTACGGCTCTGGATTGAAAGTGCAGCACTAGGAGAGTGCAGAATGCAGAGCAGAGTTTTGGGAGCTCCGTGTGTGTGTGTGTGTACAGCGCTGGGTGTGTGTGTGAAGGCCTGATGCGGTACCAGAAAATAAATAAATAAGATAAATAAGAGCTTTAAAAAGTTGCAACTCGTATATGTAAATTACACTGCAGTGCTAAAATTAATGTTTGGAGCTACGCAAAATTCAAATTCTGCAACCCTGTTCTGATCAGTCTTTGAACAGAACACCATAAGTTAATAAATAAAAGGTTTTTAAAGTAACATATGCATATGTATGTGTGTATGTATGTATATGTGTATACATATATATACATATGTAGTGTAGAAGCGTGATAATCATTTGTGTGTGGGGCAGCATGTGAGTGACCCCGATCTGGGGGTTAAGTGACCTGGAGATGAAATAAGGGAAAAAACCACCAAGAAACGCAAGTAAGGATGTAAATGACAGCTTTATTTTAGAAATATAGTCATATAGCTGCTAAACAGTAAAATCAAAACAGATCTGCAGAAAATAAATATATAAACTATTCCTCAGAGTGCTCTTAAAAAAAAATTTTGCAATTGGATTTGCTCTAATGTTACATAAGTCCTGCTTAAAAGCATAGTAAGCAATAAATTTTGAAAATAACCAGTGCAGTGTTAAATAAATTCTGTGCTTAAAATATTATATATATATAGAGAGAGAATAAATAAGTGACGAACTGACTTACTTTAAAAAAAAAAAAGGACTGTGACAAACAAAGAATGTCGTCTGTGCCATGTGAATGAGTGGATGCGTGTCTTCTTGCATGAGCTGCTTTCGCTGGATCTTCTGAATGACTCAGTTTTTAATAGAGGGAGCAGCTGCTTGAGAAACAGGGTGCGGTCCATGTTTTTACTAGACGGTTATTTAGTTCGAGAGACTGTGGAAACAATAGAAAAAGAATTTATCGTTAGTGTGAGGACAAGAAAATCCTTTAAAATACAAAAGTTGTATGGTTGTGGTTATAAAGGAAGTATTTTGTCTGATTATGGGCCGTGGAGTCAGCTGGACTCCCTCGCTCTCACAGTTTTTCTGTGTAACATGCAGTTTTAAGCAATTTGTGACTTTAGAAAGGATATTTTTCGGTGTTTTGGACGTACCTTAAGGCTTCTGGTTAGGGTATTCAGGAGATCCTTCCTCTCGGACAGATCTAGTGAGAATGACTGGAGTTTCAGCCTGGGGACCTGACTCCACCCACTTTTACACACAGGAGTTCCGCAGTCTAAAAATAGCACAGGGTGCTGCGAAAAGCAGCTCTGAACCTCTCAGGATCATCTTTATGAAAACCATAAAATTAACAAATAATCAGTAAGGAAATAAAATATTTGTTAAATCTTGCTATAAAACAAAATCCAATAAATGTCTTGCCTCAACTTTAAGAACCATTAACGTTAATGGCTGGATTTTGAGATGCTGAATAATGAAAAAACAGATAAACTAAGTATTATTTCCTGTAACCTGGCTAGAAACTGTACTAGGCTGTTTTGAGTTAAAAACTGGTAGTTATTTTCCCAAAATAAAATAGATAAATAAAAAATGAAAGGAGGGATCTTGCATTTGGGATAGATTGTGCCTAAAGTTTAAAACCTGTGTAGAACCGATTTGACGAGTCAGAAAAATTGTGCATAGGAAATAGTCTAGATTTACCTTTGAGTCAATAAAGTTGACTAAATATTAGAAACCTTCGTTGATTTTGATTTGTAAAAGAGAAAGTTCTGTCCTTTCAACTCAATCAACATATTTAAGGAAAACGTTTGCTGTGCATTGTGGAGGCATGAACTTTACTGGGTGGGCCTGTCACAACCAGCTGCAAAGAATGTTTGGCTCTGACTTCTATACAAAGAGAACCTGGAAGCCCTCACCAAAGAGAACCTGGAAGCCCTCACCAAAAACTGTGACTTATAACATCAAGACGGGGAGCACTACAAGATGGACAAAGAGGCAGAAACTTATTTGCCCTGCTGCTGATGAAACAAAGTACAAAAGGGGGAGCATGTGTGCTAACATGTGAACTTTAATCAATGACGGTGGTCATCCTGGACTTACAAAGAGAGGCTCAAAAGAGACTGTTTCCTATGGTTACACCCAGTAAAAGAGTGCTTGCTGCAGTCAGGTAATGAACAAGGCTTTTTGGCAACAACCAGTTGAATTGATGAAATGTCAGAACTGTGGAAAATTTACTAAACTACTGTAGAACATAGTTAACTGAGAAAGTTAGCCTAAAAAAAGATAATAATAATATCAATAAATAAATAAATAATAGGATTAGTAACCTGGATTTCAGCCCAACTCACCATTGGACGTCAATATAATCTTTATTGTCCTAGGATTCTCAGCTGCAGCGGACATGCAGTAAAGCCTTATTTTCTTTTCAAAACGGAATACATCAGCGTCATCACTTATCTTCATTAGTTAAGGAAACGGTGTCTATTTATAAGTCTAGGAGAACGCTTTAGGCTTCAACAGTTCTCTCCTTCGAGCAAACATGCGCAAATTTCCGGATAGTTTATAGTAACGTTCCATCCCATTCCATTCATTGCATAAAAATAAACATTAAATGAATAATTTGGCATCCAGCTGACTAAATGATTCATGGAACATCTCATCCGAGACAACAGTGTTGTTTCAGCTCCGTTGAGTTTCCCAACAGATCTAGCCAAACCTAGCTGATCCTATATTTTTCTATCAGCTGTAAGTTCTAACGTAGAAAATAATGTCACAAAAATATTGAATAATTGTACCCCTCATTCGATAAAAATTATGTTCACATTTTTATCTTGTGAAATCTTTAACATAATATTTTTAATTGGCCTTTTTGACGACAATTGGCTAAAAAGTCTTTAAGATTATCATCACAGGATGGCATGATAAATAAGTAAATAACATAAATAAATAAATAGACAAAAATAAGAGAGAAAAAGCAAAATTAATTAAATGAAACGTAATAGTGATAAAAAGTTAAAGTGATCTAAAATCTGTCATTCAGCGCCACTGGAAAAAGGAAGAGGATAGGGGAGTATTTCTTAGCACAAATCACGTTATTGATTTAGCAATGCAGCTTAATTTCAGATGCTTTAAGGATGATACTAACTTGTGTTATAGATGGAGGAGTAGCACAGAAACACTTCTAGATGTGGAGATAAGGAAAAAAAACTGCTGATTACCAATACTATGCACAAACAAACCTGTAACTGCAGTTTCGTTATTTACAAATTAACCTTAAGTAGTGAATTAATTCTTAGGATTTCTTGTGCTAAGTGAGGTTCTTAAAAAAAAAAATAAAATAAAATAAAATAAAATAAAGAAGGTAAGAAAGACAAGTAGTTTAGGTAAGGGACAACCTGAAACTTTTTGGTTGAATTGATAGTAAAGTGATTGTCCTAATTTCTAATTGGAGAGATCACACCGCAACATGAGTTTAGAACGGCAGTTATGGGAAGTTTTGTTGGATTAATTTGATCACACGCTTTAGGTCTTATTTTTTTTCTTTCCACTGATTTAGCGTTAGGTTAAGTGTTTTCACACTTTCGCTTCAGTCTGACATTTGCTTGGTGTGTGAGGGCACAGAGACGTGTATGGACCGTGTGTTTGACTGTGTTTGTCTTGTTTGTTTGTTTATTTATCTATATGGGCGTGGCTGAGCCTTGAGAAACATCAACAAAGCCATTGGGCTATTCTGAGTAAATTGACCAATTCAACTTCAGGATCCTGAAACAATTTGGCTATAACCTCTAATTGATGAAGGACATCTTAAGAATTCATTATACAAGGATTCCTCTCCAGTGTTGCCGGAACTGTTATAAAACCCATGCATGGTTGTATATTTTAGTTTGATCATTTATACTCATTGAATTATTGTTGTTTGCTTTATGTTTTAATTTCTTTGTAATTTTTTCCCTGTGACACAGGTGGAGACGCTGGTGGCAAAGTGGATCCCACTCATTTCTTTCTCCCACACACATTCTTACTCTCTCCCTCTCTCTGTGTGTGTATGTGCATGTGTATGTGTTTGTGTGTCTGTGTGTGTCCATGTCGTGATGTCACTGTACCTTTAATTGCGCTTGCTGTTCGTAACTGTATGTGTCTGATGTTGAAGGTATCAGAGGCTAGGGTCAGTAAGAGCTAGGACATTTTTGTGCATAACCTCTAATCCCTAGGCGATCGGTCCGGGGAACTTCTGGTCCGGCCGGAGTGTGAATCCTCCTACCAACTATCTGCCGAGATCAAGGACTGCACAAGCCGAGAAAGCCTTCATTGGACCAAAACTACACACACGAAGAGGCTTCGTCTTCGGTGCCAGGCGTCTGGGTCCTGCTAAAAGTCACCAAAAGGAAGTGGACGGAACCGAGGTGGACCGAGCCATACAGGATCACGGAGAGGACGTCACACGCTGTCCGGCTGGACGGGAGGAGCCTAACCTGGAAGAGAAGCAGCTGACATCTGCCTAACCAGAGAAAGGATCCAAAAAACCAGGAAGAGAAGTAGCTGACTACAGTAGCATGCCAAGCTGCCACCACATCCTGCAGGACGAGAATCTTGACATCATCACCCCCTGCAGCTGCCTGGAGCCAGTGAAGGGTCCTCAACAGGGGGAAGAAGTAACCACCCTATGAACATTCTACAAGGGTTGTATTTAACACCCTCATTTATTTTAACAAGGGTAATATTTTACACCCTCCACCTGCTGACCCAATTATCCAGATGCCCTTGTTACTAGCCAATCCTAACATCTATTTGGGAGGGGAACTCTCTGATGATAGTGATGACTCTCATGATGAAGAAGATGTTGTTAGAGTGTGAGAATGTTCAGTGATTTATGTAACCATCCCTTCACCAGTTCATTTTTATGATTTTTTTGTTTGTTTTGTTTTATTTTTTGTTGATCATTGATGTCCTAGGCATGCACACTCTATGCCAACAGGTGTTCGCCCCAAAATTGAGATATGACAAATGGGGGGACATGGGGGAATTTTCCCTATAAACATATGATAATTAGGGTTTTTCGCCCTCATATGGAGTTGCATGCGATCCATACATGTTGTAACATGTTCTGTTGAAAGTATGATCATGTTTTTTGTATTAGTTTACTGCTAGAAAGATGAGTAAATGTAATCTGATTGGTTGTTTGTATTGGTATTTTAAAACTTTGCTTATTGGATTCTTTTTGATGGAATTTGGTGTTATTGTTTTGATTTCTTATATCTTTATTGAACTCTTAAAAGAGTTCAAAAGGGGGATTGAAAATATATATCTCTCATATAAGCTCTTTCATATATTATTATAAGCTCTTTTATATGATTAAATATGTATCTCTCACTTTTGCCCCTTATATATTATCATAAATACATTATTATATGCCTTTTCATGGAATCTTGTTATAATATCAAAGACCTCTCTGTGCCTTTTCTGCTCAAGCTGAACAGCTGCATAAGGGAGTGAAAGTGTTCCTTCCTTCAGTTCCTCAATACAAGAACAACTGTCTTTGTTAGCAAAGGATGTTGCAGGATGTGTCCTGATCATCTCAAGGTTGCATGTCCTTGGGATGAATTGGTCTTTCATTAACAAGGCTATTAGCTGACGTGCGTCTGCAGGTGCAGATGGCAGAATTACGTGTGTGTATGGCAAACTACGTATGTAACATTCCTGTAATCTTCAATAAAAATCAGCCGTTTTCAGCAGAACGGCGAGAGTCTGTCCGAAGCATCTGGCAAGAGCAGGTCGCGGGACTTGCTGCAGAGACTCTCCCCCTCATGAGCGGCGAAACAGTGAATGGACTTCTGATCATTTGTCTCCTCGTTCTGACAACTTTAAAGGTGTTTAACTCCATCTACTCCGTACCCGTGCTTGGTCTAACGGAAGAGAGACCAACAGAAGTTACCTGTATGTCTGTGGGACCATCTGAACCAGCCGATGGAGCAAGTGTGTCCATGGCAACCACATTGTCAGGTGAGAACTGTGGGATGGAACACTCCTTCACAGCCACTGGAGTGCCAATCTATTGAACAAGAATGACCAGATATTACTATCTATATGGAAATAATCTAAAAAAATGTAATCAAAACATTCACTAACTTCACCAAGAACCACTACTTTCTTGGGGGAATCAGAAGCGTGTTCAGACTCCCCTGAATGGTTCCTCTGTAATGATTAAAATAAATAATAAGCACATTGAAAGGCATTACTAGCAGTGTCACCTAAAGTCATACACTTTTAAGAATATTTATACTTTACAAAGTATCTTACCATCCCATCAGGTCTCACGGGTGTCCATTGGGAAGGGGGTGGAGGTGTAATGGTTTCCACAACCTTCGCAACAACGCGTGGCACATTACTTGCCGTAACTGGATGAGACACCTGGCGCTGCACCAGTGGCTTTGGTGAGGATGTCTCCAAGAACTGAAGTAATTCACAACAGTTGTATGATCACTGACACCATAATGTTTTTGTGTGCAAGAGTCTTTAATTAATCAAACAATTATTTACCCGCTGCTTTACTGGCCTGGGCTTCAAGACAGCAGGCTTCTTGCGATGTCCCACAGACGTAGTCTACAAACACAAAAGTATTATTTTTTAGTTTAGTGTAATACTTTAAAAATGACATACCGACAGCCCATATTACAACCATCAGGAACACCATTACACTATACATTAAGAGACAATAAAGCCTTTGTCTAAAGATACCTGGATGTCTGTGGGGACATCACCAAGAGCCGATGGAGCTAGCGTGTCCATGGCAGCCAGAATTGTAGGTGAGAATCTAACGGGATTCAGGGGGATGAAACACTCCTTCAAGGCCACTGAAGTGTCATCAGTCTATTGAAGAAAATTCACCACATATTATCATCTAATCAAAATTCTTTGAAAAAGATAAATCAAAAACATTCACAAACCTCAGAAAGAACCACTCGTTTCTTGGGGGAATTAGAAGCCTTTTCAAATTCCCCTGAATGGTTCCTCTGCAATGGTAAATAAAAGAAAACACATTTAGAAGCATTAGTGTCACAGCTGCTTAAAATTAGAAACATTTTACAATATTTATACTTTATAAAGTGTCTCACCTTCCCGCTAGGTCTCACGAACGTCCATTCGGAAGGGGGTGGAGGTGGAATGCGTTCCACACCCTTCACAACCACACGGGGCACAATACTCGCTTTCAGCGGACGAGACACCTGGTGCTGCACCAGTGGCTTTGGTGCGGGTGTCTCCAAGAACTGATAGGAGGCATGCCACATCAGTTGCGTGAGTATAGGCATCCCGTGGTCATCACTGAGGTGGATCTGCAACCACAAACACAAACAAAAGAAAATACAAATTTATTACCTCAAATTTAAGAATCTTTACCTCGTTTTCTTCCAAGCAATATACTTACACCATCACGGCACCACAGTTCGCGACGGTACCTGGGTAGGTCATCGTGGATCGGCACGTAACTTACACCTTCGAAGCAGAAGGAAAAAAATTAATGTAAAGTTATGAAATGTGAATGTTTGATGCCTAAGAGTATATAGCAATAACACTTGTCGTCAATACTACCTTTTTATCCAATTATGTTGCAACTTACGTAGCTTAGCCGATCTGCGGTGGTACTCCTGCTGAAACAGGTCTTGACGCTCCCAGGATCCAACTAAACGGGGAATCATGGCGGTACAGAAAACCTAAAAAAATAAAGAAATAATTTTTTTAATATACGTTTACAGTCACTTCCTATACCTCCAAAATTACACAAATCAGCTCCTCACCTTAGGCCAGCGACTGAGAATAGCCAAAAGGTACCGCTCAAAAGCATCCCCTGCCTCTTCAACTGTTCTGCTGGCCGTAAGGTTGTTAGAAGGAGCCATGACGCAAACAGCATCAGGCTCCCGAGGTAACACAGCCTGTGAAACCTCAAGGCGCAGAAGATCTGCACAAGCTCCTGGAGTGGACATCACTCCAAAAGCGAGGCCGCCAACCGGCATAGGGACTATGCCGTCTGCCACGGACCTCAAGTGGGAGTCCCCAACAAGTAGGACGAACTAAATTAGAAAAAGAAATAAATACATTTTCATATAAAACTATCTGTATTAAATGACATTTCATACAAAAGACAATGCAATATGCTTTTCAGGAAGAAAGAGATAACATTAAACAGTCAAAGTTTACAAACAATAAAACATGAAATGGTAAAACCAATTACAAAATACACAAACATAATGACATGTAAATAAAAATAAAGACATGTAAAAATAACTGAGCAGTTTAAGTTCTAAATCACAGATTGAGAAGCACTGAATAAAAAGGATGATTACAACTAGGTTTTCTATTAAGATTCAAAAGTTGGTAGACTTGGGGCACAAGTCTAAAAGAAGCCAATTCAATCCGTTTGCAGCACTGTAACTGATAGCAGCTTCAACACCATCTGACTGTTTCCTTAGGATCCCATAGTACTGCTACATAGTATTGGAAGGAAATCTATATTTACATTTTAAATATTTGTGAACATTACACTCACTTTCTTGTCAGGAATCCCACCCGGAAGGACCAACTTGTGAGCTTTGTTGGACACTGCACTAGTTGGCCAACGACGAACTCTATGGCGCCAGCCGGTACCAGAGACTTAAAAAAAAAAAAAACATTTCAATCTTTTTTTGTCTAATAATTTTTTCACCTTACATAAATACAGTATAAATTAAATGAATTGCATAACACTACAATAATTTGTTCTACTAAATACATACGATGAACGTCGTCACTGTTGGGCGTTGGAATCCCAATACGCAGGGGCGGAGGTGGACGTTTGCTGCGCTTGGCAGCATCCGCCTTGCGTTTGGACACTTTGCCAGGCATGGTGAATGCTGTTTGAAAGAAATAAAGTAAGTTAATTATTTAGAAGGCAACCCCACATTAGCTCCAAGCACTACACAACTGACTGTCACACAAGTTGCCTGTCGCTTGTTAAACATTAAAGAGCAAGTCACCCCCAACTAAACTATTTTTTGCTGATAAACTAAATAAACCAGTGTCTAATCGTGAGGCAGACACGTGTAGTCAATAACTTGGCACTTCAGTGCATCTTAGTTCAAATTTAAATATTCTGCCTAAAACTGGCAGTGTTGTGCCGTTGTCAGGTAAAAACTCTGCACTGTATTTTAATTTAAATCTGCCACCGCTATTGGCTAAGAGGTATGCTATGATGTAAACTGGTACATTATGATGTCACAATGATGTTGTGAGCCTGTGTGTGTATTTGTTAGCAGCTCCACCTTCCCGGTCTGCCAGGCAACAGCATTTGTTGCATTTTTCAAACATTAAGTGAGAGTGGAGTTAGACTCTGGTAGGGGTTGACTTGCTCTTTAAGTAAAGTTGTAAACATACAAAATAACCAGTTTTGTACCTTAAAAGGGAAACAATGCAGTTCCTGCTTGCTTTTAGCACCCCCTAAAGTTTGTAAGTAATTGACTGTTTAACAAGCAGAAATGCTACTTGACTTCTTGCTGTGCGTTTGTCTTTTTAACACCTTCATCTAACTGCAAAAATGTGTCCTCAGCCTTCATTAGTTTGTACAGGAGCAGTTTCACTATATCAAACAAATGAACTGTGTTCAACATTGAAGACATGTAGGCAACATGCAATGGAAGCAGACTCAAGCTCCAGCATGTCAGCTACACTTTACTGAGATGAACAGGGACCAACCTTAATACTCTGAAGTTGCATAGCTCAGGGATTACTTTTCACAAGTACATTTGATCATGTTTGTTGTTTCTATTTAGTAAATATAACATTGCTATACTACATTTATGTTCACCAGCAGCACCTCCTAGTCAGCCAACATTAGCTACATGCTCACTGCTAGTTGCCCTGAAAGCAAATGCAAAATGAGACTTTATTAATCATTTATTCCAAAACACCAACTTCTATTACAGCTGAGCTGATACAACAATGCTGCTGTAGAAATTAAACAAATCTTCATATGTCTCATGTGTCAGACTCTCCTCTCTGACTGCTAACAAGCTGCCATGCCAACCTGCTGAAAAAGGCATTTTTCTGGTTCTACCCTTTGAAGAGTGTAATAATAATTAAAAAAAAATGCAATTTCGGGTTTAAGACAAATTCTAATACTCGTCTTCATTACAGGGTATCTGCAGATTTAAGGGAGCCAAATTTAAGACTTTTTAAGACCTTTTTTAAGGCCACTTTGACCAAATGTAAGCTATTTTTAAAATTAAATTTAAGCTATAATTTCCAGCTATTGCCTGGAACCGGTGTTAACCACGTCATGAACGTGGGATTAGCCATCCAGTTACCATAAAACTTGCACTTCTCCATGGCGCAAGCTCCCACTAGCTTAACCAACTAATGCGGCAGGGTTTTTCCTGCATTCCAATTTGTGTGGCGGCTGCCTCCAGCTAATTTTGTGCCGCCCCAGCCTGATTTCACTCTGCCCCCAGCTATATTGATGTTATTTTAACAGCAGATGCAGCATTGCGCCACTAGGGCGTTGTATGAGCAGCGGTTCACCGAAAAGCGCCAAAACTGCAGCAGACAAAGATCAAAACTTGCTTTTTTCACTAGTGGTACATATCTATGGTTGGTACTATTGACGTCCTGATTTCACCCAGGCTCTTCCATAGCAGAGCTGTACAGTGCGACGACAAAAACTGTCTGTGCGTGTCTGTCTATTTTTAAACAAAGCACTGGTGCAACATCTTTGAATTTCTATTTTCCCCAGAACGTTATTGAACAAAAGTAAGTTATGTGTAAGAAAAATGCTTTTTGCTGGCGCACAGTGTGGAAATCTGGATGCAGTGGAGGAAAATAAAGGAACCAGCAAAGGTACAAAGGCAGAACCGGTCCAAAGTTTGGGATCAAAAGTGCAGCTACATGCAGACTGGCTAATGCTAAAGCTAACAGGTAGCAGTCTCATTATCAAGTGGCACACAGAAAAATACATGATGATCGTAAAATTAAGAAAGACTAAACTCTACAAGCGGATGAAAAGTCCCCACCATCCTGTTTATTCTGCATCCTGCAGCAGTACATATCAGAACCGCTGCAGATACAAGTCACATTACTGCTACAAGTCTACAGCAAGCCATTGTAGTATATAATTCACAAACGCTTCCATCTTTGAACATAATTTGAACTGGATTATTCACAAGCCGTGCATAACAGACACGCCACTGTTACATTGTTAGCAGCAGAAATTAATTGTTATTACCATTTCCAATACAAATGCATGTTAATGATATTTTACTGTATATATTTGTGTCATTTAGACTGAGATGAGTGTTTTTAATACAAACCTAAAATGTTACTGAAATGTAGGTCAAATATTTAAAAATATTTTAACTATAAATATCAGATGGGAAAAAAGGAACTAAACACCAATCTAGTGCATATTATTGGGCCTTTCATAATAAAAGTCCATTATTTCAGCCTGACAATTTTGTTTGTTTTATTTCATATTTTTTTAGCAGCAAACCTGTTTTGTTTCACTTGAAACGTTGTCAAATGGAATATTCAATTAATCAACAGAAGCTTAGATTAGAACACTTAACGAAAAAATATTTTGCCTTTAAAAAAGTGATGCAGTTGAATACAAAGAGTATGCATGTGTTGGCGCATGGTCAAGATGGTTCCACCTCTGCCTCAATTTGAGCCAGGTAAAACCCTGAATATGCTAATTTAAAAATAGCCCCCTTTCACAACAGACTGAATGTGTACGGTTCCGCTTATGCCAATATCATACACAAAAAATGCTGAACACCAACTAGAAATTCATGGAATTTTTATAGAAATAAGTCTTGTTTATTGGGTCCTTGGTAATTTAAGACCTTTGGAAACTGTATTTAAGGATTATTTTTAATTTTTAAGGATTTTTAAGGCCTTAAATTTGGAAAAGCTCATTTAAGCCTTTTTAAGACTTTAAGGACCCGCGGATACCCTGCATTATCATCAACCTTGATTTTTGGAGCCTCTTACAAGCATGAGGCATGCCACCAATGTGCTGCACAGTAAAGTAATGTTACAGGTCCCAGGTATGTGACCATGCAACAGGTGATTCTGTTAAAAACAGTCAAATGAGCAGACAGGACATCAGTACGGTGTTGCTGCGTTAGCTCTTCATTGCAGAATTTTATTAACACTTTCAACCATGTCAAGCAGCACATTTTCTACCATTCACCTTGTTTAAGCAGTTCCCTTTTGACAAATTCTGAATAGTCAGACACTTATTTTACCGCATTTGACATTTTCTTGCAATACTGGTTCATCACTACATGTTCATAATATAATAAGACACTCATGGAACAAACTTAATATTTCTACCCCACTTAAGCTTTAAAATAATATAAATGCAAACCAGTTTAAATAACTCTCATCAACTACCTTGCTTATTTTCACTATTTCACCTACATGAACAAAATAACACTTCTTTCTCAGCAATGCCATTCATTTTACATGGAGCACACAGGATAAAATCCAAGTAAACATGAAGCCGTTATTGTGCCGCCATATCAACTTCACCATCGGGGGGCGCCAGGCGTACAGCACATTTAAACCACACATTAAGAACAAAACTTGCTCCCAAACCGATTAACAGGTGCTTGACAAACACATCTTGACACGGTTTTCTCCCATTTTCACCTTTTTATCGCTCTTATATGAGGACACTAACCTGTTAAAAACAGTCAAATGAGCAGACAGGACATCAGTATGGTGTTGCTGCGTTAGCTCTTCATTGCAGAATGAGGAAAAGCTAACGGCTGTGCCAATGTCCGCACCAAACTGTCCCGGTCAGCTGCCAAGTATCATACTGCCCTCTACTGGCATTAAGGTGCATTACCTTTACAGAACAGTTTACAAAGACAATGTCCTTAGAGACTCTAAGTTTTTTTTTCTTTTCCTTTTAGCCTGAATCCATTAAATATATATATATTTTTTTCACACAGGAATAAATTACATCAGATGGTTAAAGCATCAATACGAAAAATGTGACCACATCTTTCTGTGTGTGTCACAGTAAGACTGAGAGACAAAAAATAAAAACTATCATTTAAAAGCAGAATAAACTCATGTAAATATATATATATATATATATATATATATATATATATATATATATATATATAAACATCTAACCTGCAGAATTAAAAGCAAAACCATAAAAGTGGGTCTTTAGCTTTGTTTTAAACGCCGCTACTGTACGAGGTCCTGTCACAGAACGTCACATAATGCCCGAGTGTTTATGGTGTTGGGCCCTCCTGAAATGTAATGACTGCTTTCAGTGTGAATTTCTCTCCTTGAAGTAGCAGAGTGGATGGGAATTCAATAAGCAAAAACCTTTTTTGGACTGTGTAAACGGTGCCCCAAAGTTTCTGTAGAGCATTTTCCAAGGTCTGTGTCAATCCATACAAGCTCTCTCAGGCTGTAACTGTGACAAACCGTCCCTGTGCAAAGTTGCTTTCCAGATGAATCTGTTTTAAATGCTGTTGGAGATGGATCAGGACTTTTGATTGGTCTTTGACATGGTAATTCTAGAAGGTTTAGCCCTTGTTCAACAGCAGACTGAAGGTGAGCTATGCCAGTAGCATTTGACTTAAAAGCTACAGTTCACATATTAGGTTAATGTTTTAACAACCATTACCATTTTACCATATACTCTGCTGGTAGCACACTAGATGGAGTAAGGTAATGTTAAGAAACATGGTAGTCAGTGATCCACAACCAACTTATTGGCTCAAAATACCTTATGTAGTTATAAACTGATACACACCTACTGGCATGCCCCTTTTAATGTCATCATGAATGTTATTTAATGTTATTATTACGGCAGCACGGTGGTTAGCACTGTTACAGGGCTGCCAGCCAACACTGTCTTTAAACAAGCCGCCATTTTATTCCAGCCTGTCATCCCAGTTAGGGCCAGATTAACACTTTGTTGTACCCTGGCCAACAATATTCAAGGGCCCCATCATCACGACCCAAGGATCACCACAATATGGTCACATACAGAATATTTTACTGTAATATGCAGTAAATATACTCAATACTTGAATGCCTGACATCACGTAACCCGCTCAGGGTAACCTTTGACCCACCTCGTGTGGACTGACCAATGAGGAGAGGGTCTTAACTTGAGGCCCTCTCTTCATTGGTCAGTCTGCATGAGACTGACTCTCAACTGACGTTCAAAGTCATAGGCAGCGAAGCATCTCTGTGCAGCGCAAAAGCCCAGGTGGAGAGTTAGTTGAATATAGGGTGACCATATTTCCATTTCCAAACAAGAGGACAGGGGATCTGTGCCTATGACATCACACTATGGCAACGCCACACAAACCACGTTGGGACCCATTTTTTGTAAGAACTAAATTAATATCAAATTCTGCCAATAAAAGGGCTCCAAAACAATTCATATGTAAATATTTAGCATATTTATTGCAAAATCTAATTTTTCTGCTTTAGTGCTGCAACAAGGTTTTATTAATAATAAATTATTATACCTTTTGTTTTACTACAGCAACGGTAAGCTTCCTGTGCACAGATTATTAAGGATGCTTGTTTCAGCTGTGAGATTAGACGATAGGATCAATGAAAAAATAAGTGTTCACACACTCCACGGAAACTTTCAGAGAATCCACAAATGGTGGCTTTAAAATGGTTTTGTTACTTTTTGCAGGTTCAGAAAAGCAGCAGATGAGACAGCGTGTCTGATAATTTAGTTTTCCATCTGATAACATGTCAGCGATGTCTGAGGAGCTTTTATAAACACTGTATAACTAACACTCCTGGAGAGGGTATGAATTACACAGAGGCTTCTGGGGAACCCAGTAATGGGGGGTGGGGGTGGGTGGGGTCATTTTGCCTTGGCCCCCAAAATGTCTTGAAAAGGCCCTGGATGTGTGACAGAGTTTTGAAGGTGATCTGAATTGTATCAGATGTATAACTATGACATGTGTAGAACTTATTGTTTTGTACAGGTAAAAACGTGTAGTGGAGATAAATCTACCTACATTTTACTTTTCAAATGGACCGTATGACAGCTGTTAACGTTGGCCCTGCCCTACTTTACCTCTACATTACAGTTCCTTTATCCATGTCCATCCTAGAGCTCCTCTCTGACCTTCATGCTTATTTAGAGTAGCTGATTTTTAAAGTTAGCAGAGTTCATCCTTGGTAGTGGGTTCACTCACTCATTTAACCCTTCACCACTGAAACCAGTTTGTTCATTCCAATCCTCCTAAATAATCCTCCAATCATCCAAATGGAATCCTTAAGGGTCCCGTAACGTCCATCCTGTCAGAACAGGCCTTGGGAGCCCAGGTGTTACTAGAACTAACGGTGTCTCCTCACCAGCGTGAGCCAGTCTGTGAAGGTTGGACTCCTAACATGAACTTTAAATTAATGCATTCATCTCCTTTTGTAGCACATTAACATGTTTTAAAAGGCATGTATCATGATAAGTTACACCTCCCAGACCAAAGATAAGATAAAACATTATCATAGACACTATTAAGATGTCATTATTTATGAAATATATTTTCCTGAGCCATTACTTCAGCCAAGATACAAGATGCATGAATTTGATGAAACCACGCTGTCTCATGCAGTTCTATATGTGTAACACACACACACACACATGCACGCTCGCACATGCACACGCAAGCGCGCGCGCACACACACACACACACTGTAGCATGTTCTAATCATTTGAATGACTAATTTAACTACACTGGACTGCTTTTGTAATAATTTAATCTCTTATTCTGGACTAAAATAAAGAAACAAGCTAAATCATCACATATCTGTGGCATCAAGGAGCATCTTCTGAGTACAAACACAGGGATGGAGCACAATGTTTACACTTGAACAGTATCAGTGTTGGGTAGATAACCTGGAAGGGGGGGACTGTAAGGTGTTGATTCCGGTTTGTAGCTGCCACTCCCCGGAGTGTCGGCCAGAACACTACTCTAGGCCTGGATGGCGATTCAGGAAGAAGACACTGAAGACACCCAGGATGGTTTGAACGCTTGTATTGCCTCCACACAGTCAAAGGTAACAGGCTTGTTGGAGGATCAGGTGTTACATACAAGTCTAGGTACAGGTGTGTGTGTGTGTGTGTGGTCTCTGAAATGAACAGAAAGAAAATAGTACATCAACAGAAACACAGGTAGGAAAGAAACTAACGTCCCCTTTGCTACCATAAACCAGATATTACCCACATCCCATATATAAACCCACTCAGCACACAATTATCCCCAATCACACAGCAGGAGAGCTAGCCTAACTTAGCTTAGCACTCGCTAGCGACACAAACAGAAACATTGTAACTTCCCTCTAACTTCGATTACAGTCACAAACACATTTTATCCGCACATCCTCACACATCACAGACTTACGTTGCTCAGTAACGCACACTTCTCACGAAATGACCACTTCTCTGCTGGTAAACTGGAGCGAACACACTCATATAGATCTCACCCACGTATCCACCTGTTCAAAACCTCTCCCATCCAAAGTGGTGGGGTGACATCTACAGGTCACTCTAAGCAACTACAGGTGAACAACTGAACAGAATAGAAAGGAGAACTCAAAACTATGGGGCCTTTTGTACAATCAGGATGTTTAACTCACAGAGGCCTGCAGGTCTTCTGTTTTATGAGCAAAGCGCTGAGAATCCGCTTGTTATGAGCGCTAAACGTTATTTTGCCGCTGCCGTGCGGAGCGGTAGAAAAAGACAATTCAAACACGGAACCGAGCCCGGCTACCGAACCGAGCAGAATTCTGATGACGTCACACCGGTGCGCGAAGGTGCGGGTTCCAACCCACAGGAGAGGAGGGAGAGAGGAGGTAAACAGCGAGTTGATCGACTGAACTGATGTTTTTGAGCAAAAGTGTACACCCACACACCCCCAACGGTTTAGACGTGGCGCTCATTCAGGTGTCTCTTTCCGTTCCGACGCTGCTTCACGTAATATTTATAATTTATTAAGCCTATAATTTATTTTTACTCAGTAACGGATATGATTTAAAATGTAGCGAATTACAATTCTTTTTTAAAAACTTACTCAAGTAAAAGTAAAAGTACAGATTTTAAAAACTACTTAAAAAGTATAAATATACAAAAAAGCTACTCAATTACAGTAACGTGAGTAAATATAATTCGTTACTTTCCACCTCTGGCCCTGGGCAATTGCCCACTTGCCCATATGGTTAATCCGGCCTTGATCCCAGTCACAGAACATTGCTAAGCCAGGCCTCAGCAGCTTCCAAAGAATGCTTTCCCTGACAATTACAGCAAAACTAGCGGTCTAATTTACAAGCCTACACAAACACACCACTGAAATAAATGTGCACACACAGGCTATTAACATGGATTTAGAGCCAGCAGACTAATAGCAGAGAAGCTAAGTTACAACAGCCAAATCTTATCATGTTTAAACACCGCCAAAAAACAAGCAAGTTTGACTCACCTCAACAGAAAACGATGCGCTGCGTTAAATGCAAACAGAGGAACAGAGGTGAAGGAAGCTCTCCAAATATGGTTGATACCAACTTGGAAAACGAGGGTTAGGGAGAACTCTGAATATACACGAAGTACACTCAAAGCGAGTCTGTAAAAGACTGAAGCGGTTTTGGGCGCCTATTTCAGTTAAAGGTTGTCTCAACCAATCAGTGGGGTGGAAGACGGTTTTTGAAACCAAACAACCAATAGAACTCCGGGACTTGACGTCACTTTACTTTATTCACAAATAGTAACACTACAAATCGGGTTCACCTTGTTCAATAAAGTTTTGAAAAAAACAAAACAAAAAAAAAAACACTACAAATCGGAAATCAGCACGTAGAAACGTCTCCCATAGCGTAGGTGCTACTTACCACATCGCCAGATTTAAGGTGTTCTTTTTTCCTGTCGAATAAACAATTATAAGTTTGCTGAACTTGCAGCCATTTTCCTACTGGTTTTAGCGCGTCCGGGTCGTTGACGTCACTTCCGTGATGCGCATTTGTAGTCCTGGACAAAAAACCTAAAATTACGTTTCCCCCCGTTCAAATATTTGCGCTTTCTTGGTATCAAAACGCTTCTTTTAAATTCACGGACATTATATGTGAAATCCATTGGAACATAACAAGCGCGGACGCTACTGTTTTTATCGAGTCCGGGTCTGTGACGTCACTTTCGTGATACGCATCACATAATCACGTGGGTCCACCATGTTGGACCGCAACAGATTGTAAACAGTCGTGGCAAAGGGGGCAGTCACTGAATTACGCGCAAAGGGTCCAAATAAAAGGTTTTCAAGTGCTACGTTTCATCCTTCCTCTGTAATTTTGAAGGTAAGTCCAGATAATTGCAGATGTTAATTCTAGCTAAATTCCAGCTAGCCTGAGGTAGCCGCCTGCTAACGTGACATTTTTGTTTTATTTTTTCTTGAACCAAACCTCCCTGGTTCCGTTTAACCATGTTAATGTGAATGACTGTTTAACGTGTTTGTATTTATGATTGAAGTCTCTGGCAAAAATTAGGCTAACAAGGTAACTGTGAGGGCTCACTGCTATAAATGAATGAAGAAAACAGATCCACCACACCAGTTGAGAGTAGGACTTGTTGGAGTTTTACGTTCAATGTTATATTTGGTGTTCAAGGTTCTATTCAGAGCCACGTTCAAAGTTCTGTAGAATATGTTGAAAAGCAAGTTTAACACAAGCACTACTCTTTTGATGTGAAAAGCATTTGAAAGATGTTGGTAGCTAAATGCAGCTAAGTAGCTGACTGGGAATCATTAGCAGGTTATTTGGCGTGTTGTAAATAAACGAGGCTTTGCTTAACAGCTCGAGCTAATGGCCGTGTTCAAGTTGAGCTGCGCCTCACCTGGAAAACAGACAAGAGCAGACGGAAGCCGCAGGGGGAGTGCCTGAAAGCCGGCATTTAAGTTGGACAGATTTCTCTACATGTGTAGCTAGGGGGTGACGATGGCTGAAGATATCCCGTTAGAGTTCATACTTGTTTAATTAATTAATTTAATTCTGGTGCCTGTTAGCAGCTGAAACACATCCTCACTTGCTTGTGGATATCATATATTGTATATGGAGACATGACTGTAATAATAAGTAAAGGTTATCAGCTGTAGGTTTAGTGTGCTCAAAGGAAACGTGACAAAATAACACAAAACACATTTCTCTTTATGGCCTATATAGTTATCATCATCAACATAACATGATTCACAGAATACATGTGACCAACTAACATTTCATGTTCATCCAATCTGCGCAGAACTGGCTCATCTCGAAGCTGTGTTCGAGATGAGCCAGTTCTGCGCAGATTAGACCAGCGGTGATCAGCGAGCAGTGCATGCCGGTTAGATTTGTGTCTGACTTGACGCCGACTTGCTCTGACGTCATGCATACGTAGGCAACGATAACCTCGTGAGATCAAGGCGGCCGCAGATTTTGGAGCAAGGTGCTGCAGTTGCTCTCCACCGGCTGCAAAACCTAGGGGATGACGGGAAACGCCTGGCTCTCACCTGATCTAAGATCTGATTGGTTTATATTTTGATCCAAACATCCGGTGGTAGAACATGAAATGTTAGTTGTTCACATGTATTCTGTAAATCATGTTATGTTGATGATGACAACTATATCGGCCATAAAGAAAAATGTGTTTTCTTTTCTTTTGTCACGTTTCCTATGAGAACACTGAAGCTACAGCTGATAACCTTTACTTATTATTACAGTCATGTTTTCATATAGAATATATGATATCCACAAGCACGTGAAGATGTGTTTCAGCTGCTGAAAACAGGCACCAGAATTAAAATAAATAATTAAACAAGTAATAATAATAATGCATTACACTTACATAGCACTTTTCTGGACACTCAAAGACGCTTTTATACACTCACATTCACACACTGTAAGCCACTTTGTAGCCACAGCCGCCCTGGGGCAGTCTGACAGAGGCGAGGCTGCCATGTGGCGCCATCCGCCCCTCTGACCACCACCAACACAGGCAAGTTGGGTGAAGTGTCTTGCCCAAGGACACAACAGCAGAATACCCCTGGCGGGAGCTGGAATTGACCCCATGACCCTCCGATCATGGGGCAATCCGCTCTACCTCCTGAGCTACTGCTGCCCCACGTATGAACTCTAACGCGATATCTTCAGCCATCGTTACACCCGAGCTACACGTGTAGGGAAATCTGTCCGACTTAAATACCGGCTTTCAGCCACTCTCCCTGCTGCATCCGTCTGCTCTCGTCTGTTTTCCAGGCGAGGCGCAGCTCAACTCTAACACGGCCTATGTCATCCACTGCTACACGTCAAAAGCAGAAAAAATGTCCACCTCAGCTAAAGTGAATGTTCTCCCTCAATCTATCCCGTTTTCCTCTTTCTTCAAGTGGTGTAGGACAAATGTTACATGAGACAGTAGCTCAGTGGCTTATGCTTCTGACATGACAAGGCTGGTTTTACTCCTGTTGCTTTTGCTTAAGACTTCTTTTCAAAATATTACATTTTGCTTCTCTGTGTGTATTTCAGATGAGCCAGTTGTACTGGTGGACTCAACAGCAACTGCTCTTGTGTGGCTGGCTGTGGAATCTGCAACCACTTGCTAGCATTGCTGTTCCAGACTGCTCATTATTCTGATTGTGGCATGTCTGTTCTCCCTCCTGGCCTGTCATGCACACAGACGGAACGGAAGTGACATGAACCACGAACAATGGTTTGTCTCATTCTAAAATCTAACACTTGTATCACTTTTTACAGCCACTTCACTAACAAAATCTGTTTAATAAATAGGAGGTGAAACCTGGACCATGTGGATGCCATAGTTGTCCTGAAGTCTAAACTAGGTGCTACTACAGCCAGTGGAGTTGGGTTACAGCCAGTGGAGTTGGGTATGTATCATTTCAATTCAAGTTTATTTATATAGTGTCAAATCACGACAAGACTCGTCTCAAGGCACTTCACATAATATTCCAATTCAGGTCAGTTCATTAAGCCAAGCAGAAAAAAAAGTTTCCTATATAAGGAACCCAGCAAATTTCATCAAGTCACTGAACAGCAATCCTCATACTAAGCAAGCATGCAGCAACAGTGGAGAGGAAAACTCCCTCTTAACAGGAAGAAACCTCCAGAGGATCCTGGCTCAGTATAAGCAGCCATCCGCAGATCAAGAAGACAGAGCACACGCACGCACACTCTCTCACACACACACACACGCGCGCACACTCTTTCACACACACACACGCGTGCACACTCTCTCACACACACGCACACACACACACGCACACACACACACACAGTCACTCACAAGTAAGTGTGTCTATCATCAAATTTAATTGGTAGAATACATTGTTTTGTAAAAACATGATTTAACTTAATTCCGGACATTGTCAGTGAATAATATAATTCGGGAAGACAACAGGAATAATGAATTTTATTTAAAAGTGCCTTTCTAAACACCCAAGTTTACTTCACAAGATAAAACACAATAAAATACCAAACAAATCAGATGGTAAAATCACTAATAAGGAGAAAATTTATAGCTTTTGTTTTTTAAAACAGTTTCAAGCTCAAAACAGGAGACTTGACAGGTGTGATCCTGAAAGTGTGGATGAACTCTGTCACACAGACATGGACCAAACTAAAACAACCCACAAATCACTCTGAGGGTCGACAGCTTTGTTTTGAAAGTGATAC